AAAGTAAAGAAATGAGAAGTATTGAAAATACCTGTAGTTTGTTTTCAAAGATGTTCTGGATGAGTTTGGCCATCACAGTCTCAGGGCTGCTGAAGACCTCGCCCACCTGCTTGTTGACCCTCTGGCAGAGGACTGCAGTGTCCTCAAACACATCATTCTTCAGGTAGGCCCCCTACGGAGACAAACAAAGGGTTAACCAGGAGTCTGAGGGTGATAGTAACTGGAAAACGAGAAAAAAGTGGCATGTTATCTGTCAGGAGAAACCTTTTACACTCACCTCCTGACACTGCTTGATATAGACGTCCACACAGTATGCATAGCCCTGAAACAAAAAGACAAAGAAGTTACTTTTCTGCAATGGCCGTAAGAATAGGTTGTTAGAACACTATATAATGTGTGACGCGAGTGACTATCCCAATAATATAAGACCAATTAAATGTGGTCTAAAAATAAAACCTAGACATCCAATGTGATTCTTTCAGGTCACCTTGAAATGTAATAGAACCGCTGCCACCTCCCGCATACGTCCAATCTCACCCCTGCGCTGGGCAGCTGTGAACTCCTGGATTAACTGCCTCTCCAGGTCATGGTACTTACCTGGGTAGAATCACAAAAAAAACACAAAGAAATAAATAATCAGTTTTGGTAGCCAACATCTAATGTATATGTAATGGGAACATGAGGAGTTTTTCAAAAGAAACTTACTTGCAATTTTTGCCTTGACATCAGCAAATCTGTCAGAGGAAAACAAAGTCAGTACTTTTCATTTCTATACATATATAATGAATCTGAATAAAAGGCTTTAATGCTCGATATGTACTGCGTTGGGCTTACACTGCGAGGAATAGTCTACATCGCTAATACACCACCTTCCCCTTGTTTGACAGTGCTCTTGTCTAAAGCTGCCTGCAGGATGCCTGACTGACCTGTCGAATGGCAGCTCCTGGGCAATGAGATGCAGCTTCTGAATTATATCAGCAGCCTCCTTAATCTGGGGGATAGAGAGAATGAGTGAGTGTGAGAGAGAGAGAGTCAGGTGAGGCGAAAAGAGAGACAGAGCACGACAGGACCATGAGAGGTGGACACCCAGACAGAAAGCTGGCAGGCCGCCGGTGGTCTCTCCACCTGGGGGGGGGATCATCATTTCAGAGCTGCCCTCCTCCACCTCCCCATGTTGAACAGAGAGCTGATAACAGGCAGGCGGCGCTCACCTGGGCATCGGGAGCAGCAGCAGTCCTGACTTAGCAGCACATCCAACTCTATATTGGCATGCCTTTTCTGAATGGGCTGTAATCCCACAGGAGTCTAAATCGCCTTCAATAATCTGTCCGGCCAAGGATATCTGTCTTAAAAAAAAGGGGGCCCTGTTGAGAAACCCCCCCTCCCTCCCGCCCCTCCTGACACACACACTGGCTGAAAAAAGCCCCAGACCCACGAAAGGCCCGCCGTCCGCAACTCCTCTGTTCCCGCAGATGCCTGCCTCAGCTAACATCATTACTCTGCTCCCGTGAGGAGGATCCAGCCTTTCTGCTCGGCGAAGGTTTTCTAAGTATCTGTCCCCCAGCTAAGATTAGCTAAATCCCATGTAAGTAATGTAGCCGTCTCCCTGCAGTCAGGGTTTAGCAGCACTTGTCTCCACGCTGGCGGCCCAGCCCTCCCTTTCAGAAGGATTAGCAAAGCCATCCCCCTTCAGCTATTCACTTGCAGCTTTCCTCTTTTCCCCTCGTCTGGAGGTATGCTCAGGAAAATGAATCTGGCCAGATATTTCTGCGTGCCTCTTCGGAAAAACTAGCTCCATCTCCAGCTCTCGTCTCTGGGATTGACCCCCAGACTCGCTGCTCTGCATCAATTTATGATGTTGCAACGAGCAGGACTTAATCTAAAGCATCCCAATCTCCCTACTGTCACTTAAAAACTGCAAAATCAAACTTTCAGGGGTCTCTTGTCTAACATTAACATGGTCCCTGTGTAGGCAGGAACTTAGTAAAAGTGTGCATCTCATCTTCCTGCATGCATGTTATCACCGCCCTTACATGGACCATAATGCCACAAGCTATTCGCTGCTGTAATGCGACACAAAGCTGAGACCAAGCAAATTCTCGCTCCCAGACAACCTTCTTGAAATGCAATTAGGGTTGACATGAGCATGTTGACATCCATGCTAGTCAATCAGCCAGCTATTGTCAGACAGCAAATGACAGTTTAATAATCCAAATTAGCCAAGGGATCCAACTAAAGGGATAAACTTGACAAATTAATATGGATGGTTTACCTCATAATCCTGTTCCTTCTCACCTCCAGCAGTGTCACAGCGGGGGTCCGCGTCAGTGGTCACACACACATCCCCACCTCCAGTGAAGTGAATAGAAAGCAGATAACTCACCTTGTCTGGGTTATTGAAGACGTCGCTGCGTAGGTCTCCGTCCAGGAACTCGTTGAAGTATGTCATCAGACGCTGAGCTTCCACGGCCCGCTGCCGAGGCGTGTTCACCCCCTCCAGCTGGTCGCCAAGGTGACAAACCTTGGTCGCCACATAGCTGATATGCTCATCGAGCTCCTGGAAATGCTGGAAGGCCACCTGAAATGACAAAGAGCAAAAGGAATGTCAAAAGGGGTAACTATGTAATGTGATAAATCAATAAAAAAAATCTAAAGCTCAAAGACTTTCAGGTATTTATATGACCATATAACACACCTGGTTGCTTCTCTGCAAGTCTTGCACTTTGTGGGCAAATTCCTTGGCCTCACGGTGACACTGATGCTCGAGCTTCTCCACCCGCCGCTGGATCTTCTCATCCAACTGCTTCAGCTCCTCTATGTGGTTCTCAAATTCTTCCAACAGCCTATCACAGAGGAAAGGAAGACTGTATATTAGCACTCCACAGTAGTCTTATAACATACACTAAAGGTAAAACACACAAAACACTCTCCATCTCTGAAGGAGTAATTAAGTAGCACAAGGTTAAATCTGTCCTACTGACCTCACAGTTACAGTTATAGTTAGTTACAGAACAGTATCGGAGGCTTAATTCCCGGGTCCCCAGACTTAAGAAGCAACTTCGTCAGCTGCATTTTAAGTGCCATCAGGACTGCAGAGCAAATGTTCTAAGTCAGCACCACATTTCACAGAGTAGGAAACATCCCAAAATGATGAGTGTATAATCTCTTGACTAATTCCCTCAGCACTGGCTACAGCTTAAAGACATCTCCCATCCCTTCCCAATAGACACTCATTCCCTGGCTGGTGACTCACAGTATGGTGGCCTCCACAGATACGTTGTCTCTGACTCCTCGCTAAGAGCTTCCGAGAGGTGGTGGCAACAGTTTTGTGGAGGAAGTAGATAAGGCAGGATGGATCCACAGTGAGTTAAACTGTTGTGGCATTTTTGCTTACAGGAAATAACTCGGTCCCCAAGTGTAAACATAACAACAAGCTGTGGAAAATACCATGAAACTAAATCGTCAACATAGATATTTCCTGTTTTTTTTCCTACCCAACCATCAAAAACACTTAATTAGCATAGAAGAGACCAAGATGATCTTTAAGTGCAGGGGTATTAAGTTGGTATGAATTTATATTAAGATGTTCAACTTTGAACACATCTAATTATTCAAAGTATTATGTTTGTAAACTACATTATTGCTCTTAACCCTTTTAAAACATGCCAAGAAGTGCACACAACAGCTAAAGAAAAAAGAGGCTGGTTAGGAAAGAGTGCATTATCATATGAATAGAACGTAAAATAACGTGAGATAGATTTTCTGTTAGATTGATTCTATGACACAATATAGGAAGAATATCTTAATGTCAACATCTAGTCAACATCTAGTCAACATCAGTGACATTTTTCACAGGGGTGTATTACATTGTGGAACAGGACATGAGGGCAGTATAAAGTCGTACTTATGAGAGATGATAAACTGTGGTACACTGTTAGCAGACACTAGTGGAAAAGCTTAATTGCCCTTTAATAAGGCTTAATTATTTGCATTACAGTACAAAGCATCCATTTTATGTAAAATTAGTTGGTCATTATCATATTATTAATTCAACTAAACTGGATTGATTTATATGGTATTGTGTAAAATTACTCTTTAAAATGTGACACAGCAAAAATGTGATTAGGAACCCAGTTGACATGTGTCAATGCTGTTCTTCAACTTGTTACCACAGGGTTAAACCTGGAGAATGGTATTGTACAGTTAATGCTGATTCCTATACTCAGGGGAAGCAAGATGTGTACAGTAAATGTGAATACCTTTTGGGGTCAAATGCTTCAGCTCCTCCTTTGGAGCCCCCTCCAGGTGTCCTCCATGCTAACCTCTCGATGTACTCATCTGCATCAAAGGGCTCCTGAGGGGGAGAGGAAGTGATGAATGTACTGAGGAATACCTCACACCAAAACATTAGCACAACAAAGATTTTACCCCAAAATAATAGAAGAAGAAAAAGAAGAAGAAGAAGAGAGTAAACCTACTACACGAATAACGTTACATCCTGCAATGACGTTTTACAACATCTGTCTTGCTTTAACTGCACCCTAACAGTCAATTATATTAACCTTACCCTAAATAAACTCAAATACATGTTATATGTGTCTACTCTTTCCGTCTTACGACAGCTGTGTGTGTGAATATGTATCCACTATAAACACCAAGGATGTCAGTACCGTTTAGGATAGTTAGCATCATAGCTAGCCTCACAGCTAACACAGCTCTCCGCTGCAGAAGTCATTTTACCTCGAACAGCTGAGCAGTTGTCGCCATGTTCCAGATTCAGCTGACGGAGAAGTGAAATTCGATTTAGAGGAAGGAGCTCAAAGTCCGCAATAGCGCCGACTTCCACATGGATTTGCTGATTTCGTACAGTTTTGCCCTTTGTTGACAGCTAGCTGGTTAGCAGTCCTGCTTCCTGTATGGGTGGAGAAGGGTGGAATAGCTGCGAGCCAGAGCGCATGCGCAAATGTCTTGTGATTGGTCACATGAAACATAACCAGGAAGTGAGATGCTGCGTTAAGTCAAATTCATACAGTAAGGCAATTTAACAGCTGAACAATACGATGCGAGTATTAATATTGCTGTCACATTCTGTAAATTAAAACTTTATTGCAGCCGGACAAATGAGTGTGAGAGCTTTGTGGATTATTTCGCACGAAAAGGGCGAAAATGTGTCTTTACGCTTCGCAAGGTATGTATACAAGACTCTCATATCATGTCCTGTTTACAAACGTGTATATACCACAGCAGCCTTCTAATGTATTAAAGTCTCTGCTTATCGACTGGAGTGTTATGTAAAGTATTGTGTCTCCCCCCCCACAGGAGGTTTGCTACTGTGGAGCACCGTGCAAAGATCCTGGCAGGTTCCTCATATACAGCAGTCCCAGAAGATAACACTGTGCTGCAGCTCCTGCTCACTGAGTTGGGGCTCTCAGACCCAGACAAACCCTTTGTAGCTCTCAGAGATGATTGCCTTTATCGTCAGCGGTCACCAGCCCTGGAGCTGAGGGTGGACAGCCCTGGAAAGGGAATGCTTTGGCCAGTGTTGGCAATCTCCCACGGGCCTATTACCCTTGCTTGTCTGCCTTTAGTGGATGCTCCTGCTGAGCCACGGCCAGCCCTTGCAAGCCTGCTGTCTGTCTCTCAGGGCCTCACTCTCTTGGCAGGTCTGCAGACTTTTCTCCTAGGCTCTGGGAGTAAGCCTGATAGTGAGGTGCTGGCCTCTCGCCTGGCGATGCTGCCCTCTGTACTCCTGCAGGTTTGTCCACTTGGCACACCCCTGGATGTGCCACTACCGGGGGCTCCTTCTACACCCACAGTGCCCACTCCTGCTGAGAACCAGAAGCAGCCAGCCTGGAAGACAGGGCTCCACCGCGGTCGAGCTGCGGTGAACGTAGCACTTATAGAAACCGTACGCTCCATGCAGTATGGTAACCGCAGCAGACAGGACTTGTGGGATGTTTATGGCACTGTAACATGCAAAGTAAGAGCACATTGTTAAGGAAAACAAGTCTAACTATTTTTGCCTGTTTCCACTCTTTTCCTTCATTCTTCTTTTTTTGTCCCTGTTTTCAACAGTGTGAAGTGGAAGGGGTGCTCCCAAATGTGATGGTGACCCTCACACTGCCACCAAATGGTTCTCCACTACAGGACATCCTGGTGCATCCTTGTGTCACTTCACTGGATTCCAGCATCCTTACTGCCAGCAGTGTGGATAACTTTGATGGCTCTGCTTTCTCCGGACCATATAAGTTCCCCTTCTCTCCTCCTCTGGAGCCTTTCAGACTATGCAGCTATACATCTCAGGTATGAAACATACATACTGACTTTCTTCTAATTCCAATACATTAACACTAATGTCCCAAGGGATATTGCAATTTTTCATTAGGTCCCTGTTCCCCCTATCCTGGGTTCTTATCAACTGAAGGAAGAAGAAACCCAGCTGCGTGTGTCAGTAACCCTCAAACTTCACGAGAGTGTGAAGAACTCCTTTGAGTACTGTGAAGCACACCTGCCATTCTTTAACAGGTAAGAGACAATATTATTTTAGCACTGAGCACTTGCCAGTGTTTGTTTCCTGTAGATTGAAGAGGTTTAATGCCTCAGACTTCATGGCATCTTTGAGGTTAAGTTCGATGAGATGCAATTCTGTTAATAAGAATAATAAATGATATATAAAGATGTGGAATAATTTACATCTCTAATTCAAAGAAGGTATAAAAAGATTTGTATTAACTACTGATACGTACATTTCTTGTCATTGGAAGCAAACTAAGGTTCTAAGGTTAATTCTATCTGGTAAGGAAATGCAAGAATTAACAAGATAATTACTAATTGCATTAGTGATTACTTTAATATATAGATTGCTGGAAGCAATAAATACGTTGTAACTGTTTTATGGTGTTTTACATCGGCCATTGTAATATGGAACAGAGCTATCCTGCATCTTTATTTAAACTGTATAGTTTTTTGCCAAAAACCATCACTGGTCTCATTAAAATGCAATAAATAAGTCCCCTGAGCTGATTGAATGAGTCCTCTAACAGCCAACTAATGCCCCCAGTAAACCTAATAAACCTAATCTACATGTCTCAGCTCCATTATATGCAGTCATATTATAAAACACTCACAGAATTTGCAGATATATCCCAAAATTATTGCACTTAAAAATGACCCAACCAGAGAATCAGTTTTGTGTCAAATCTATTTTCATAAAATGCCTCTGTTGATTAAAGTGGTTTAACCTAACCACTTTAATCAGTGTGTCTACAGTAACATCTGCACATGGTCTTTGTATCCTGCGCAGGGATCAGTTCGGTGTTGTGGATGTGAAGGTGAGCTCCGGACAACTCGATGTATCAAAAGAGAAAAACCTGCTGGTCTGGAGCTTGGGTAGGCACTGTGCTCATTAGTATCAATGGAAAAAATATAACCTGAATGTAGCTGCATATTGAAAAAAGTAACTAATGCGATGTTTCCCCTCCTCACTGATATTTAGGACAAAAGTTCCCTAAATCTCGCGAGGTAACAATGGAGGGTAAGATCAGCTTTTCTGGGCCGACACCAGGACCTACTGACCCCCTCTGCACAGAACTAACAGCCTATATCAAAGTGAGTTAATGTGTGTTGTGATACTCATGATCCAGTTTGTTTATTTACTGCAGCATGTTACAGCATTCTTTAAACAGCTGATTGGATAAGGTCAATTGGATAAGGCATCTACTAATATAGACTCATTAGGTTGTAAAAGGATTAACACCTCACCTGTTATCTTCACAGTTATATTTCAAAGTGCCTGACATGACACTCTCTGGGTGCTCGGTGGACCAGCATTCGGTGCAGGTTTATTCCTCTTCAAAACAACGTACTATAACATGTAAGCTAACAATGGTTTATTAAATAGAAAATGTGGCTGTATGTGCGTTTTCTGAAACTAAAATAAATGTCCATCTGTCTTATTTTCAGCACGAGAACTTCAATCCAAAGAGTACTTCATATGGAATTCAACAGGAAGTGCTCCGGTATCCTCTGGGCAGATGATGCTGTAGCATGGATACTGTACATGGTGCTCAATAACTGGACTGAAGACTGTCAAGCATACACTGTGATCCAGACCGGATATGTGACCCCATGAAATGTGTTACTACACTGTTGTTACTGAGGAGCTTACAAATGATAGAGCATTTAAATAACATTTATAATACATTTACATATAAAAGACTGAATCATTTCGTTTTTATTCAGTGCTGTTCACAATGTGCAAACCTTGACTGGCAGAGGTATTGATTTTGTTTACGGATGGTTGCTCTTGAAAAAAACTACCTGCCCCTCTAGTCCAACTTCTTTTATCCCCCAACCCTCCCCTCAAATTTATCCCATTGCAGACACAAGGGCCACCCCTCGCTCTGACAGTCCCACTTCAGTGACTCTCCATCAGCCGGATAATTAGCAGCTGGGGCCTTGTCATCAGCTGTTGTGGAGCTGGAGGGAGGGGGGGGGGGGGCGGCTGGGCTGTGAAAGGCCTGGCTGCTCTGGCCAGTGTCTTGGCTACAAAAGGTTCCTCTTTTAGAGCTGGCAGGAGTCCTTGCCCCCTTCACCAATCACTCCCCCAACCCTTTTGACCCCATCCCCGCCCTGTCAACTAGTGGCTAGTTCAAACACTCCACCTCTCTAACCAGACGGTGATTGAGCGCTGACCCTCGGGCCCTCTGAGACTTTAAAGCAGCCGGTCCCTTTCAGCGAGCAGGAGCTGCCTAATTGGTGAAAAAGTCACAAGGATGGAAGTGGTTGGGACGCCTCTTGAAGATACACAGGTGCTTTAACTTAATCCGTATAAAAACGATACAGTTATAATTTCAACATTCGTTGTTGTAAAACGAATAACAGTGTAGATAAACGGATAACAGTGTAGATGACACTTTATAATCAATTCATACAAAATATATATATGATTGGCATACCAGATGTTTCTCACAGTTTACATTTATTTTATCTGAACTATAATGGGTTTTATATGAACTCATACGTACTAGGAAAGCTCAACTTCAGTGTATTTAGTTAAATGGATAACCAGCGGATGAAGGGTTAAATCAAAGGAGATTGTGCCCCCACTATTCCTCAGCAGCCAGACTCCTCTGAGTGCCCTCATTGTCTGCTGTTGGCCTCTTGTGCCCCTTGCTGGTCCAAATGCTACATTCTCACGTGGATTTCCACTCAGAAGGCTGACCATGACCAATCCTCTGTCAATTGGAACCAATTGCTCACACGGCATCTTTCACCTTCTTTTTATGTAGCAGTACGGAGTGGCAGACACCGAGACCTCTCGGCTCTCCCCCTCCACGATGATTTGGCTTTAAGGCCCAGTGTGTGTGGCTAGCGAACTGGAAAAGGAGAAGTTTTTTGAAGAGTTGGGCCACTCTAAATCTCCTCAGTATCCCAATATGTGGTCAGTCTGGCTCCTCATGTCTGCAGTCAGTGGCCTCTCACTGGCAGACTTTGCTTTGTTGATTGAACGGCTTGCTAAGGACTAATTTTGTATGTATTGCTCTGCTTCAGTGCCTTACGCTCATACCTCTTGCTCTTTCATTCTACAGTGGTTTTCAGAACAATACATTATTTATTTCCTTATCGTTTACTATTTTTTTCAAGCATACAGGAAACATTTTTGTACAATGTTCTCACGGGCCAAAATGAATTTGTCAAACTAAAGCAGCAGTTTGGATCGTAATTAATCATTTTGAGGCTTGCATAGCCTTCATTTATTCATTTAAGTGATCTTTTATACCGAAAGGTGTACAAAACATTAAATACACTATTACAAACACTGAAGCTGTTATCCTGTGTACTTCACTGTGTCCCTCAGCCCAATAATGACACCCAGTGGTTGAGTAATAAAGGTAATGTAAGCCTTTGATTTCTTTAATACAGTTAAATGCTTATTTCATCTATTCAAATAGTTCTAGTCAGCCACCGCCAGATAATCTTAGCTTGTTTAATTCCCGTCCAGCCCCCTGCTGAGCACTGTGATCCCAGCAGTGTTCCTCTAACGCACTGTGCCTGAGGACCAGGATTTAGTCGGCCGCTGCGGCCCCAGGTGTTTGGTGGGAGTCCAGCTCCTCTTCGCCTCTCTAAGCCCGCTAAGAGCCGGCCTCAGGGAGACCACTTGAAGAATGATGGTCCAATTAGCAGTTTACTGTTTTCATTATAATTATTGTTCAAGAGCTGCAGATCTGTTTAAATAATGGGATACCTTTGTACAAAGATGTTGTGCTAATTTCTATAACAAAAGCCCAGTAATAGAAAAGAAGCTTCAAAGCTGGCTGATTTGAATCCCAACTCTTTGAACTTAATGTAAAATGTTGGCTATCAACATGGTAGGTAAAATGAGCCTGACTGCAAGTGTTCTCACTGCTTTCACCCATAGAGGGCGTCATAAACTCAGCCATGAAGGAAGTATCCCCAGAACACCAAGAGTTTTCTTTATATTGCAAGGTGTTTATGGCTTATTGTGCCAGATCCCTCTTGCACCTCTTATCCTTGCTGTCTGACAGCTTCTGGCAGATTCAGACCACATACAACCATCCCTCTGGGTGGTGTCCCTGTCTTCTATTCCCACCATTTCCCTTTCGTTTGTCCATAATATGTTTTTGTCTATATATGGGCATCTCTGTCCAGTGTGTTCATTCTTTTCCTCTCTGTTTCTGGGACCTCTCTCTCCCTGGATCCCATCTTCTTTGTTCGGCTGGTTTCGCTGTCTCCCTTCACAAAGGTGAGGTAGAAAGGTTGGGTCTAGAAGGCAGCTGGGATCCAGCCTTTCTCCTGTGGTCTCGTCCCAGAAGATGTCCCTCTCTGTGGGACTCCTCACCAGTTTCAGCCTCTGGATGCCCTCTGTATTTGGACCTTCAACTTGAGGGCCTAATGAAATCATATTTAGACCACATTCAGACATTTTGTATCAAGCTTCCTTGTTAGAATAACAATTTGCAATCTTACCGTTAACTGAGTAGACGACCTTATGTCTTCTCTGCTCTCTGGCCTGTCGGTGGTGAGCTCGCCGCTGCCGATGAGCCTGTTGGGTGAGAACTGTTTGGGCCTCCAGAAATCCTCCCTAGAAATTCACAGAGCCACAAGAGGCCATTGGTGTGAGAGTACTTATTTATATTCTACTCTTTACTCCAGTATGTGTCTTTGACAGGTATAATTAAATGTTTTCAGATTTATCTTGAGTAACCGGTTAGATTAATGTTTGATTGATTTTGACATAATAATAATAATAAAATAATAATAATAATACATTTGTTTTGGCAGCACAAGCTGAGTGCTATAGTCCTGTAATATTGGACAGAAGGTAAACTTCTACACGGCCAATTTATCCAACACTCAGCAATTTAGACAAAAACAATCTAGATTGATGAATAGCACTGCAGTATTTAAGAAAAATATGAATTTTTGAATTTGGTGGTAACAGTCTTAAAGTAAAGGGTCTAGCATTACTTATTCAACCACTACAACAAATATGTATTACAATATATTTATATATGTAATTGCGATGTATGTGATCGTGTTAATATATTCCCTTTGGACAGACGACTTTGTCTGCAATATTGGCAGTTATAGAGGGGGCTTCTCTGTTCCCTGTACCCTGAAAATAGACCCCATTGAGGGCCAGTCATGGCTGTAGACCACCCTACTTTCCAATCCGTAGATACTTTAATCAGATCCACTGGGACTGGAAGAGCCCTTACTCACAGCTGTTTCCGTCTCTTCTTCGCTCTTTATTTCCCCCCTCATTGTAAGCACTGCGGCACACTTTAATTTTGCCTCAATTTAAAAAAAGCACGAACTGAATTATTGATGATACAGATGCACTTAATTCCCTACTTTGTCAAGCTGCTTTACCTGAATCATTCTGCCGGTGCCACAGCTTCCTGTCTGGCCGATTGTAGAAGACAGGCGGACACCCCCATCTCTGCATCCCCTGCCCTGCAACAAACAGAAACATTTCTCATTGTGTCGTGAGATATCATGGGGGCAGTGACGCTGGCACAGCAACCATATGTTTATTTTCTTTTGTATTACCATGGCAATTTGAGTGGCAATGCTTGTGTGCCCAATTTGCAGGGCCAGTGGTTGGAGTGTCTGAGGAGGAAATAATAATGATGGCATGTCTGGGTACAAATCTCAACCAGTCAGAAACAATAATACAAAATGATGTCTGCCAGAGTCCTAGCCGGGGATTGAATGGATGAAAAACTTCTCATATGAATCAGGCAACAATAATAGCCTTTTATAGTTAATATAACATATATTAACCTGCATTCTTCGGGGTGGATGTGAGTGAATGATGCTTGAATTGTTACTTTGCTTTGATGGGATGTTTCCTGCAAAGCATGGTTCTTACAACACACACATGCAGACAATCAGTATCACAACACATAGTGGACTGTACAAATACAACTGAATGGGAATGAAACACCAGAGACATGAGACTTACTAACCTGAGAGTGTGGAAAGAGTTATTTCCTGTCTCAGTGGAGGTAAGGTTTTCTTTTTCTGTGCCAGAGATACCGATGGCTGCTCCACACTGACGGGCAGAGCGGGGACGGTCCATTGTGGTTCAGGCTGTGCCCCCTCCTGCAGGCTATTACACGGAGCCACTTTAAACAGCTTGGGTCTGGAGCCTGTAGAGCCCATTGACTTGCCCCTTGTCCTAATGCTGTCAAGCCAAAATACTAAATTCTACTCTAGCACAAGAATGTTCAAAGTTAGTTTATCTTTCTTCAGGTTTAGTTTAGTCTTTACTAATACTAATCTCACCTTTTTAAAGTCTTCTCGTCAGAAATGCAGGTTCTGTAACTGTAGGTCCACCGTTTTTGTTGAATTTTTCCAAACATGTTAATTCCCTAAGAATTGTTTGGCTCTTCTTTTAAAGACATCAATAACAGAATAACTTAACGTATAACATTAAAACAAGCCTGGTGGTCCTCACATCTCCCCTGCTGGCGAAATGATTGTTTGTCCCGACGCATCTCTGTCAAAGTAAAACCGCAAAAAACACTTTTGGTAGTGCTTAAAGGAGTAGGTGTGTACTTCAGCGCTGCCTTCATACTTGACTTCATTATAATGAGCTAGGTTTCTATGGCAACTCTCCCTACAGGTTACTTTGTAACTCATAAGTTAATGCTTGAAAGAACCTGTTATTTCCATATTGGAAAGCCCGGAGGGGTAGACGGCAAATCTCTGGGAAATTGTTAACTGACTAAAAAATGTGACTTCATGAGTAAACAGAAGAACACATGGGGTGGACAAACTGTGTTACAAAGGTTTGTCCTTTTCGGCTGCATGTCAGATAAGACAGTAGTTGTATCAGCGCTTTATACTGTAGACTATTTCATATAACTTTTGGCCTTAAAGCAAGCCTATAGATTATGTAGTAATTATTTTCCAAACGGTTTCCCTTTATGTATTACATTTTTTTAATAGACCATCTTTATCACTTAAATTATTTAACTTTTTCTTCTATTGCAGCATCTACAGTTTGGATAGAGTGTTTTGGCCTTGTTTGGAGCACTATTGGTTGTCTTATATTACTTTTCAGTGCTGAGTGCTTGCCTTTTTTAGAAAATGATACAGTTTGGCAATCAACTTGTTATATGACACGACCTTGCGAGTTTTGTAATTCTTTCTAATTCATGCTTTTCACACTTTCCTCATGTTCTGTCTGCCCCATATTTATCTACAAATATTTCCAATAAGAATGTGTACAACAATCTGTTATTATGGCAAACGCTGTATTTAACATTCATTACATAAGGCCCCTCTCTAACGTCTCTTATCAGCATCCAGCAGAACTAAATACTTAACATTATAATTAAGATTTGAACATTACAAATGCCTCTGCTCATTCTAGCTCATTTATTTTAATATGTTAAAATGTCACTGCGGTTGTTTAGCTGAAAGTGTCACCTCAGCAAATGCTTCATTAAAGGTTTCAACTCACTGACTGCACTCCAGCAGTCATAAATACACTGTGGTGTTAAACTCTCGGGATTGTGTGTGTGTGCATGCGTGCGTGTGCGTGTGTGCGTGTGTGTGTGTGTGTGTGTGCGTACGTGCGTGTGCGTGTGTGTGTGTGTGTGTTTGTGTGTCTGTGTCTGTGTGTGAAGACTAAGAAATAGGTCCCCTGACACCCTAATAATCTAAAGAACACTATATGAACTAAAATGTAACGTTGCAACATGCTATGTGACACTGTTAAGTCATTTTGACGAGGCCTGTCACAGTGTTATGCTCTAAAGGCAAAACATGTCCCATGAGCCTCCATTGCCAGGCAGATTGGTACGCATTGTTACCACATATTGTGTATATGTGAAAGAGGATAAATTAAAGTAGAAACTATAATTTCCAATCTTCATCAGTTTCCACTGCATGTGTGTGTGCTTGTGTGAGTAAGTAACAGCTAAATACACCATTGCGTAATGTATTATAGCGAGGATAATTGTGCAAAGTCATCACTGCTAAATCAATGCAATGCACTTACTATATTAACCTACTAATATTATATGAACCACACCGCCTAGTTCTGCAAAAAATATCTATTCATGATACAAAGTATACAGATGAAACAATAGTTCTTATAATGTCTCTGAAAGCTGTTCACACAGTTTAAGTTTGGAAAAAATTGTGATCTCACCCTCAACTTTACTCTAACAACTAAATATGTGTCTTTGCCATCATTAAACTATATGGTCATTTAGCATCTTTTCATGTTGAAGTGGGGGAGTGAATCCAATTTAAAATTTCCGATTTTGGAAATGTGACTATTACTTAAACAAGTAATACATGCTATAAATGTGAGTTTTAAGTCTTTTATTACAAAACCAAAAGAGCCTGTACATTAAGCATAGTATAACTGCCATTCTTGTATATAATACTATTCAATAAGATTCTAAATAATACTCTTATTGATAAAGCTCTAAATAAATATCATAAATACATATAAGATTGAGCCAAATTGGCCCTGTTAATATTTATATTCACAGAATACAGTCCACAGAGCAGGTGAGGGGAGGTCAGTCAGCTCTTGTTTTGGGTGCGTGCGAGGAACAGGACTGAGCATCAGGATTAACAGTTCCCCCCCTCCTGTTGTGAAGTGATTTAGTGAGAGATCTCCAGAGTGAAGTTCAAGACAATACTTCCTGTCTCCCTGATAGAGTCCTCGTGGACCAAAAATCCCGTCACACCTCCACACCATGGAGGAACATTTGCAGACAGGGCTTAAAGACTGGTTAACACAGGCTACTAGCAGAGCTCAGCCATGTCATGCCAAGGGAATAGAGACAGTGCCGTTTGCCCGACTGCGGCTTCGTGTGTGGACGCTGGAGTCTGTGAGCTCCTCGCCGTGTTCCTCCGTCTTCTTGTCTGCGATGGTGGCCAGGAAACGCAGCGTGACTGAGTCCCACTCCTCAGGCAGCAGCAGGAGCAAGAAGCCCAGGCAGATGATGCAGGTGGCTGCCAGGCGCACCACACTGAAGATCACCTCATGTTTCAAAACATCTACGGCTACAGCAGGTGAAGGAAAGACAGGAAGTGTGGCAGAGGAGCAGAACAGGGAAGGGGGGGGGGGGGGGGAGAAACAAAAACAAATTGAGATTAATTACATGAAGTAAGATAAACCACAGGACACTGCAGCTATAGGGGGATGAGTGAAGCTAATGCGGATTTAAATTAGCACAAGCCGTCCACTTTATCCTCTGTGTCTTTGCGGTCTGGAGACAAGTGGCCGTAACCCACTGACCTTCATGCAGTCCATCGTGGTCAAAGAAAAATAACTCGTCTGCAGGCATTTAGTGTCGCCTTAGCAACCTGATCCTCCCTCAGCGAGAGAAGAGTTGCAGGGTGTGTTGAGGCACATTGATGATTGGGTTTCCAGGAAGAGAGAGGCAGACTTGCTGTGTAATCTGTTTGCTTCAGTAGCCTTAAGTGCTGACCTCTCAAAACAAGCACCACAGTATGTGTGGCCATGTACTCTCCTTCTCACAATCATATTAATAAGAAATAAGAAATAATAACCAATACATTGAAGACAATACTTAGGAAACTTTACCTGCATTGCCCGGCACACTGAGGAGTGTCCCTATGGAGATGAGAATGGGGTACGTCAGCACCACACCAACATGCACCAAGATGTTGAAAACTGTAAAAGAAGAGGAATAGATTAGAGTTCACACATGACAGGTCATCTTATCAATGAGTTAATTAAAAGAAGAAATTATTTTGCCTCTTTCATTAAATGTTTTCTTAAACAAAAATGACAACGTCATTAGTTACAGCTTTTAATTTGAAGGTACGTTGAGGAGTTTATGACCAATAGTAGTTTTCAGTAGCTTGCATGCAGCTAGTTTACATTATGCTGTCTGTTTGTGGCAGCAATGCCCCTAAAAGCATACCAATAGCCAACGAATGCAGTGAAAAGCAGACTGTAAGCATGTAAACAATTAGAAATCATCTTATAAATACATATATTTTTTAAGGAAACATATTACTATAAATTAACTGTTTGCTGCAGCATTAACAATTAACATTCATTCAAACACTTTGAACAGGTGGGTGAAACCATGATATTCACTCTTCTCTCTACAGGTATTGATGCACTCTCACCCAGCCACAGTCCTGCCAGTCCACACAGGTATCCCCAGGGCAGGGAGGACAGTGAGCCCAAGTGCTCCACCTTGGTGAAGTAGAGGATGAGGGGCACACAGGAGATGAAGATGAGGTTGAAGAAGCCCATGGTGGAAAGGAAGTGAGCCACTTCTCCAAGGTTTGCACTGCCCAGAAACATCTTGAACAGCACCTGGATAGTGAGACAAACATTAATATACACATTGACAGTCACTGTTACAAGCATTTAGAGTCAGTCCAAAAGTGGTTCAAACTGAGAAGTGGTCTAACCTTGTAAAGAGCTGATGTGGAGGCCGAGCCCACAGCTAATGCCACGCCCACAAAAGAATCACCATGGAAACCATCAGCATAAGCCATCATGACAATACCTGTGATGGCCATGATAGCTGCCACAATCTGCAGGTAGAGATTCAGAGACATCACAGGCATTAGTACTCAGGAGCTATTGAAAGTTTCATTATAGTTGTTATTGTGAGGATACTGACCCGAACCCCCATGAAACGGTCCTTGAGAACAATCCAGGACAAAAGAAAGACGAAAGCCTTGTGGCAGCAGTAGAGCGCAGAGACATCAGTTGCGGTCAGTTTCTTCAACGCCATGAGGTAAAGGTAGTTGGTCAGCGTCCACAGGATCGAGAAGGGGGCTGTCCTCTTTACGAAAAGCTTGAGAGTCATCCCATCCTCCCCAAAGAGCTTGCTGCACTCCCTGTTTTACAAGGGCAAAAAAAGAGATGTCAGACTTGGCTTTGCTTTAGGTCTGCCCTCTACAAATGAAAAACGTATATACATATACATTTAAACACTACTAGACTATTTCTCTTCATTTTGGTGATGAACTCAAGTGACACATCTGCCACAGCTGTTTTACGTACAGTCTCAAGCACACATTAGCAAAAGCCATATCAACGCTTCTTTCATTGGATTCAAATATCATTTTATTGTCAGTTTACCTGAATTTCTGTATGGGAGTCTGCTTCTCCCTTTTAGTAACCACCAGTCCAGAGTAGTAGATGGGGAAGAAGAGGATGTTCCAGTTGCTGCTGAACCAGGAGATGAAGAAAGGACAGGAGAACGACTGGAAGGTCAGCTTTACCACCTGAGTGGTACCCACCCAGGAGGAGGAGACACACAGCACCAGCAGCAGACCCCCCAGCACCTTCAGAGCCGTGTGGGTACATGTCTGATAGGACCGGCTCTCTTCACTGGTCTCGCTGCCCGGTGTCTCTGCATGAGACTCTGAGCCATCCTCTCCTGGTGGGAGACACAACAAAAAGATTTGTATTTTGTGGCTCTACTGTGACATTTTTCCATGCTTTAATGTTGAAAAAGGTCTTTAATACTGGCTGTGCTGCAGCACCTCTTTTCACCCTCTGTCTGAAACCAGAGCCCAGTCTGCTCTGATTGGTCAACCGCATATAAATGTCCCACCCCGGCTTAGACTACAATGTGCTAGTCAAAAGAAGCACGAGTGTTATATAGTGATGTCACTACAGTATTACAGAAAACAGAAAATCCATCGCTGGATCTCTACATGTGCACGTTGTACTTCCTGTTCTAAGGACAATGTTAGCATGACATAATATAAGCATTCAGCTAAAAGCCGTTCTCGCATTGCTTTGCATAAATACAGCTTTGCATAAATACAGCTTTGTATTTGAAATCCTTTATATTAGCCAAACCTTGAATATTCCGTATACTTTATATTACTGTATATACAGGGTGGTGCATGTGTCTCCCTGGCTGGGGTCCAGCACATAAGCATGTATTGATCAATTGCCCTCAGTGATCACTACCACAGTTTGCATTTCATGCTGGAAGGGCGCTGATGCACAAGACAAGACTTTGTCAAAAATGTGTTGGGTTAGCATTGTGGCTGTGCATGTCATAAATAGCTTTGTGGCCTCATGAGGCAGCACATACTGTACACCCATTGTAGTCAGGTGTGCACAGAAACCTGATGCCCAGAAAGCAAGAGTAAACCTAACCACATGACATTCCACAAGAAAGTCATGTCAACCTTGGCAGCCACTGTTTGACTGTTGGTACATTCCTGCTATGAAAATGTTGCCATGTAGCAAGATTGTCATGGAGTAGCACTGGGAAAGATGTACACTACCACCAACATTACATATAGATCGAAAGAGAGGTTTATTCCTAATCTTATGCCAGTGACGCTTGGTTGATCATGCCCAGTGCCTAAATCGACTGCGGGACTTCTGGACCCTTACTGTGCTGTTTAATATGTGAAGTGCTGTGTGTGGGAGCATTTCCGGAGAGAGCTCAGATCCGTTCTTTAACTTTCAACAGTGTGATCAATTTACACCAGGGCAGGAATAAAAGATGACATGTGCTGGATGTTTGCTGCCTGTGCTCCCTTTGCTAGCTCAGCACGGGAATCTCTGCCATTTCCACCATGGCTGCAGACACTGCAGCGCTGCAAGCACCTGCATTTGTACCCAGAGTATCTCCCTCTGCTGCAGCAGGGCATCTCTGGGGTTCTCGTATTCCATCTGACACTCTTTTGTCTGTCAAATGCAGTGAGACTTCAACAGGAAACAGTGACAGGTCTAATGAAGGAAAGTGGATTGTACGTTAATTAGTTTTTGTTTCATCCAAAAGAAAGCTGCAACAGTATTTGTTAAGCGCATTCCTTAGATCAAATAACGATAATGATATTTTCTGGCTTGTTTGTGTGAAACCCTTTCACTGGTGAGTCCACCCAGAGCCACCTATTTCATTCAGAAAATAACTCAACAGTCTTGCCAAAATGACTTAATAAGATCAATGAAAGCATGAGATCATAGCTGGCACCCAGTAACAGTATTAAATCTAACCCATGGCTGCAACTGTTATACCTGAGAAAGAATGGTGATTAGATTAGACCGATCAGATTCATGTTAGTGCGATGGAGTAAGAGGATCACTTCATAAAAAAATAAAAAAAGTGATCTGTTGTATCCAGTCATGTTGGAGCTTTTTAACAACCTAATACACATTTGGGCAATTAAGTCCAGTTGTTCCTAACCAAGGTGAAGAAATGAAAAACATATTTGGCTACACAAATTGTGCATTCATATTTTTTACTATTTTATAGAATTTACATTTTCTGAGAATTTTGGAAAGTTATGCCTCCTTGCGTCTCAATGAGTGACTTAAATTAAGCCATATGAGAGGTTTGGAAGGGTTAGGGGTTTTCAAAGGTCATAACATGTTCAACTTGTTTAATAGAGTAAACAACACAATATGAAATGTAGTTAAGCAAGTACAAAGTTGCATAAAACTGAAATACTCAAATCATGTAAAGGCACCACAAAACTCTCCATATGTGCAGTACTGAAGTATACTTAGTTACTACATCAGTGCTGCATTAGCCTAGAGTCTGTAAAATGTTTCACCTTACAGCACATCCCAGCTGGGAGCAGAACTACAGCTTGTGGGGAAAACAAAAATGTCGAACACGATACAAGTTCTTTCCAAAAGGATCATCGAGGGATTGGTGTAATTACATTCTGTCACAGCTACAATTCTTAATCAACCTAATGAGCCTGGTGGTTGCTAAACACTGGAAAACTAAGATCTGATATTGCTGCAAGAGAGAAGCCGCTTTATTATTCTTTTTATTTTTTCATTATGTCTGCTACTCCTTGTCCAACAGCTAAGATGGCTCGTGTTTCACAGCACTGACAAAAAAACGAAAGCTTATAGTGTTGGATACGGGCTCTTCTGTCCTCTTTTGATGAGGTAAAAGCCACTACAGGCTGATCTGCTGCCAAGATGCAGTAATATTATAACTCTACTATTACCGTGCCTCATAAAAACGACTCTCGTGGCCAAAATTGTATTCTCATAACAGACGGGTTATTTGCTGACTAGTATTGATGCTAAAAGTTGCAAGAGAAACAATAATGCCTGATAAATACAGCCTGTCAGCATAGTTTCACTGTTAAAGACTTCACTGAAGTAAAACAAGTGCTATTCAGTCAACTCAGAGTAAGTGTACTTGTTTGGCTGAAATGTAAGAGTGCTATTAATAAAGTTCTTAGACCTATACATTGAGCATCATCCATCAGACATAATTTGGTGCATTATTCAAATTAAAGGTTTCTTTTATTTAAATATGATGATCCAAAGGTATCACATCAAATTCTGCCTAAACTTTAAAATATAGACTCTCCAAAGATACATCAAACCACTAACAATAGAGCTGCTTAGAGTATGCACCTACATTTGAAGTTGGGACAAGCTTCCACCTCTTTTCAAACTAAAATACCTATGCCTTACTATATGAAGGCTATCCTTAGTTATACTATACTAAACTTTACCTTCAAGAAATGTGTTCAAAAAGCATTAGAAAGCGTCATCATCATGCCATTTCATTACAGCAATCCCATTGCTGCAGAGGATCACTCACTACTAGCACCCATTAACAGAGCTTATCCAGTCTGTGTGACGCAGCTGGTTGCTCGAACCTCACATTTCAATCCATTCTGTGTTTTATCCCACTGACACTGCATGCCAGTGACATTGATGGATGGACCCCTGCCGAATCCAATATGAAGCTCAGAGTTGCCTCTGCAGCGTTGGGCAGGCTTACTGCGGGCCGAACAGCATTACGTTTCTATCCAAGTCACGGCAGGAGATGTGAATCATAGCTATGATGATGTTGATAGCAGTACCAGTCAGTCATTTGTGTTACAAAGATCAAAAGTAAAGGGATTTAAGTGAAGTACAAGGCTGTTGGTTATGGGATGAGGATGAGTGAATAGTAATGCTCAGTGAGATGAATGGAGGGCAGGTGGACAGAATTACCAGATGTGAAAGCCGCTGAATTTGGGCCTGTTTGGTTTTATTTTCCATGAGGGCTGGGCAGCCAGAAACAGATGCTGCTGCTACAACTACACTTCCTGTCAACATTAAGCTTCCAAACTCTGCCAGCAGGACACTAAAGTGATATGTTTCAAAAAGCCCAGGTGGTAAAACGTGTTAAATTAAGCTGCTCATTAGATTTTGTGATGGACAGTCACATGCACATATACAAGTACTGTACTTAAGTACAACTTCTGATGTACTTGTATTTACCTTGAGTAGTTCAATTTCCTGCTACTTCATACTTATATTTCAGAGGCAAATATTGTACTTTTTACTGCCCTACTGTACATTTATTTTAAAACTTAAGTGACTGAAAACTTTAGAATAATGATACAAATATATAATCCACAAATAATGAGTCATGCATTATAATAGGTTAAATCTACATTGATCAATTGGTGATTTCCACACATTTCAGTTGATAAAGTAAAACATATCCAACGATAATTCTAATCCAAATCTATATAATATATATTCCGTTGTGCAGAATGAATACTTTTACGTTTGGTACTTTAAGAACATTTTGATGCAAATACATTTGTAAAGTAGGCAACATTTTGAATGCAGACTTCTGCTGGTAACAGTAGACCCTTCTGTGGTACTACTACTTTATCTGAGTACTTTATCCACCTTGAATAGAACACATTCACATCACTTCATTGATGCCTTATGGAAAAACGTTTTTTTTTATCTGTAAAAGGTGTCCAAAACAATGAGCACTATTAATTAGTACTAGTTTAAAGCAACCTATCTGTGCTAACGCTGCCAGTATCTCATGCCGACACATGCACCTTGACTATTCATAGTTGATTATAAATGGCGTCCTGGGCCTCTCCGGTTCTTTGGGTTTACCTTCAGAGATGGGGCAGGTGAGGACCTGGGTGCTGTACGAGCTGAGAGGAGCCACTCGGGCTGAGTGCTTCTTCATCCTCCACTGGGGGCACAACGCACTGTCCTTCCTTGGGAAGTGTGTGAGGATGTGTGTGTGTGTGAGTAAATGTGCCCAGGCTGCTCGCTCAGCAGCTCGTCCTGCTTGCTCCGTGCATCCTCAGACTCCTGACTCCTCTGCTTCTTCTTCACGCTCTCGATTGCCCCTCCTCCCAGAGCTCTGTCAAACTCTTCTGTCTTCTTCCCAGCACTCCAGTCCTGACTCCCTGTTCCTCTCCAGCCCAGCGCTCTCTGGTACTGCTGCTCTGACTCTCTGATAGTGACACAGCTCAGTGGAGATAGCTCAGTGTTAGTGCCGTGAAGTGGAGACTCTACTGTTGCACTGTCATGCCGTGATCCAGAGCTGCCACTGTCTCCAAGGGAGACTGAGCTTCAAGTGTGTCTGGCATGGCGCAATCACTCCCCTCATCTCTTTCCATCCTCCTCCTCCTCTTC